ATCCCTTCACCATTCACCCCGGTGAAATCCTCCTATCCTCATACAGGTGTCGTCTCCTGTGTAGGATCAAAGTCCAGCCACCAGACACTTGTGGCAACATTCCAGGACTCCCGAGCCCCCCAAGGGTGGTCTCGGTGGCTCGGCACCTCAGTCCTGAGGTGCTGAGATCCCACAATATTCCAGTAAAGGCTGGAACAGGCCCATCAATCCCCATCAAATATATTATATCCTTTAACTTGTCTAGTAAGTTTCTCAAATTAAATGTATAGATTTGTTCATTTTATGTGACAGCTTTGAACTCTTGTAAAGCTGAGATTGTTTTCAGCTTTGCAAAATTCAGAGGCATTATAAAGCAAGTATTGGCATGGCCTTTCAAGAGCAGGGTATTTGATTGTAAGTTTTCCAGTTTAGAGATTAAGGATACTGGTAAAGAATGGTAGAGGAGTCAATGTATTGTGTCTGTTAAACATATTTGATCTTGGCAGTGTTTTATGAAAGTCAGGAACAGGAAGCTGACACTGAAAACAAGCTACTCTCAACATGCTGCCCTGTTTGTGACATTCATCCTCCCCTTGACAACTCCTGCTTTTGCCACCTGTTTCATTGACATTAGCAAATACAACTTTTGTAAAACAGAACCAGTTTTGTCGGTTTATGTTGATCTAGGTAATTCACTTTAAAGTGGAGCATTAGTAAATCTGGCCATGCATTTTAAAATCCAGTTTAAGTTATTCACAGGTTTTAAGGTTTAGAAAATAAACATCTTTAGACTTGCTTTTTGTCATATGGTTATGCAGAACTTATTCTTTTTCAGAAATGATACTAAAAAACATTAGTTTTTATTGGACTATAAAAGTGCACTGTTTGAAAGCTGTCTTTCTATTATATACTCTAGGACTTATTCAATAAGATGTGACTTTGAAGAACAGGAAAAAAAAAGGATAAAAAATTTGTCAGATCTCAGTCTAACAAAATAATTTCCATTTCCAGCCAGAGAAATGCCTGCTTACTTTTCCATGTATTAATCCTTTGGTTGCCCAGTTTATGTTAAAGAAGGGATTATCACTGAACAGATTATTTCTTGCAAGCTTTGATCAACTCCAGGAACTACTGCCACAGGCTCCAAAAAAAGTTTTAAAGGTTGGTGAAAATTATTTTATGTACTATATCATTTTTTTGCTCTGTTGTAATATGTGGTTGTTTTGTTGGTTTTTTTTTTAATCTTATGCTAAATGTGCATTTGCTGGTGTCATTTAAAAATTAATTACAGGTTTTAGCATATCATTCATATCCCAAATGTTGAGTCTGCTGATTCTCAGCAGATTTTGTCAAGTCACCGTTTTGTTTGTGGGAAAATAATGAGAGCATTTCCTTAACTGGAAAAATACTCATTAGATCAACTTCCTCCTCAAGCTTCACAATATTGAGTATTGTGTATTTCTAATGTAAAAGATGTTTTCCAATTAAGTATTTCCAGGGCTTCCGTCCTTCCTTCCTTCCTTCCTTCCTGCCTGCCTCCCTCCCTCATAGCACTAAGTGTTTAACACAGCTGTAGATATGAAGAATTGTGTGCTCGTACTGTTCCTACTTTTGGGTCAAGTCTGGGAAAATTGTATACTGAATATAGTCATCTAATTCAATGAAAAATACACATATTTTATCATTCAAGAAAATGGCTGAGGAAACGATTCATTTAAGGTGAAGTATTCCATTAAGGTGAAGGAGCAAGTGAACAGGTATTTGTGCCCTGGATGTGAAATTTTGCATACTATTGTTTTAACTGTAAATGTGTAAAGCCATCTTTATTGGCAGAAAAAGCTCAGTAAATTCCTCTGTGATGCATGATAGGTGCCAATTGCAGACTGCTTCCTGCAGTCTTGGAGTAATGAAGGAGAATAAATTGTATTATTAAGATATTGCTTCTCCTGTGTTTCGAGACAGAGACTATTACTTAATCTGTTTATAGATGTAAGACAGGTACATTGTGTACTGTACATGCCTCTCCTGCTTTGGTGAGTCCTTTTTTTGGTTCCAGTAAACAAAAATTTATACATCTCAGAATCCTAACAACTGATTTAACTTTTTGTACTTGGAAATGTAGACCAAGTAGTGATGTATCATCAACATTCCTAACAAATACTTTCTTCATCATTTCAGCATTTCAGTGACATGATATCTTCATACAGCCTAAATGCTGCTGCTCTAGAAAAAACAGTGAAAGGTGCATCACACCCAGAAAACCAGAATAAAGTCAACACATTGTATCTTGATAATAAACAAAATTGTCAGATTTTAGAGCTGCTTGATAAGGCACAAAACAGCACAGGTAATATCTTGAATTACTAGTAAAATGTGTCTCCTTTGAAACCAAGTGAAAAATTTGAATGTATTAGAATCTTTATTTTCTAATCATGGTAAGGTCAGTTATTCTGATGAGACAGATGGCAATCACAATTCTCAATTACATCTTAGTTTTCTGTAAAATGTAGAAAATAAGCTAATCTTTCATTCTCCATATAAAGTGGTTCAAATTGTTCTCTACCAGGACCATCTCGTATGAATGCTGAAGCCCTAAATCCTCCACTGAATTATCATAAGGGTTTTTTAAAGTCTGATCTTCCAAGTTGTATGCAAAAGAAAGCGTGCTCGTCAGATGTAATTACAAGGAGAAAGCTGAATTTCTTTGCTGTATCAAAGGACAATGAAGATTTTGCTCATCCAGAAGTTAAAAATTCTCTCCATGTTCAAAGACAGCCTTTCAGAATGCATAATAGCTCTGATCATTCTTCCAAAGACTCTGAAAAACAGGATTTCTTTGCAGCTTTCAGTGACTGTGCACCTCAGGAGAGCTCGAAGAGTTTTCTAGATGAATTTAGAGACACAACATTTAAAAGCCCAGAAATTCAGATCGACCAGTCCCTGTGGAATGATTCTTCATCCACAGGCCCACATAATTCATTTGCTCACGATGGTTTTCTATCTGATTTCTTTGATGATACGAATGAGCTTCAAAATCTGAATTTTAGTCAAATAGGTGAAACACCTAAAGGAAAGAGGAAAAAAAGGCCTCCATTCTTATGGACAAAGGAAAAAATTAAAACAGGTAGGTCCAAAGTAAGTTGAAGATTTTGCTGAAATTCTTTTTGTTACTCAACTGCAAAGTTGTAAGACTGTACTTTATCTTTTATTTAAATAGTTCTTTAATCAAATTCAGCCCAACAACGTTGTATGTTCCCTTTGCTAATATGTACTTGCATATGTATCTCTTCTGTGATAAAAGGTTTCTTACATGTTTTGTTTTGAGCATAAAGATGTCTTGGGGTATTAAAAAAAAAAAGCCAAACCAAATGAACTAGAATAGTGTTACTGCCATTATTTTTCCCTGGTGAATATTGAAAAGCATAGCTCTTCAGTAGTATAAGATTCAGCTTCTTTTCTCTTTCTGACAGTGCCTAAAATATAGATAATGAACATGCCAGAATTAATTTTAATGTTATGGGAAATATTATTTTGTAAACATAGATTTAGACAAAAAATTGTATTTTCGCCATAGGACCAAAAGGAGATTCAGCAAATCCTGAGAGTGAAATTCAGATTCTACCAATGGCTATATTTTGCTGTTGGCACTAATGGAGTAAAAATGGCACTCTGAAAATCTTTTGTTTCATAAACTTCCTTATTCTTGGAATATTTTTAGCTAGTATCTCCAGGGTTAAACTCCCCACTTGAAATCATTCCAAAGCTTATATTTTCAAAAGATGGTATGATGTGTACTTCAAAACTTTGTTTACCCTGAAAGTATGTTCAGTCCTTATACAAAATATTAGGCTTCTCTTTTTTTGTACTTTTCTTATCCCTGGTTTACTCCGTCAAATATAGTAAGCTTGAAACATTTTTTAATAAACCATAATATGTATCCATGGAGTCTTGCAACTAAGACAGTCCCTGTCAGACAACATATTGCTGGATCATTTATTGTAGTATTTTTTTTTAATTCTTCTATTTCCCTGCTAGTAAGATGCCACATTTAAAAAAAAAAAATCCAAGATTAAGTTTGTTTTAAAAAGTGCCTAACACCTACTACAGATTACTTAATTTATGATTTGTCTATTAGCAGCTGTCATTAAATCTCTTGGTGGTACAAGGTCAACACAGCATTAAAATGCTTTCACTAATCAGATCACACTCATTCATGAAAACCTAAGTAACTAATTTAAATCACTCTTTCACTGACTGCTTAGGCTAATTATGGAGATAAAGAGAGAAAAGTTAATTTGACATAGTAAACTTCTCTTAATTTTCAGCCTGTGTAAATTTAAATGTTCATACAGAAACTCTGAACAGACCTTTTGCTTCTCTGCAATTGAAATTCTGACCTGCAGTATTGCTGAGTAGAAAACAAATGTTCCAGTAACCTGTAACTGGCACTGAGAGCATAAAATTTTACAATATACTTCAGTAGAAATCAGGGCAGATTCTCCTGGTACAAATTTTACAGTGTTCTGAAAATTCTGTCATCTCCAAATGATAAGCTTTCTCTATTATTCTTGCCTAGTAGGACAAAAGTATGCTTGAATGTGAATCAAAACAAAACAAGGAAAAGTGATTTTTGGTTTAGATTTTGAAAGAACAGCCTTGTTCTACTTTATAATTCACTAACCAGGGGAAAAATAAGTATACTAAATAGTCTTGCATGCTAATGCAAACCCACTGTCCCCCCCCAAAAAAAATTTAAAAACCAATCAAACCAAAAAACCCAATCAACCTATCAAAAAAAACATAACTTCACCTTAATACAATAAAAGCCTCTGAGAGCAAAAATTTAAGAAATATGTAGAGAGTCAAGTTAGAAAGACACACTGAGAACAAACCCCAAGGATTTCTTCTGATGTCAGATAAAACTCTCATTAAACCACAGATAATTCATGACGCCACGCCAAGCCAGTATTTCCACTGGAACAGATCAAATCCTTAGGTCGGTTTTAGCCGATATAGTTTAGTATAGTTTTCTGACTATACTTTTTAAAAAGGCTAAATATAATTTCCTCATTTCCTTAGAGTAACTTGTTTTGAATAAGCAATTTCTCATATGCATTATTGTAAAAGCACTTGAATCTTAAGAATGTAAGCAGCTTTTTAAAACAACTTAGAAACATGATTGTCTGGTTAAAAAGAACTAAATTTCAATAATTATAGAATAATTTAGGTGTAGTATTAATGAAACAGAAATAAACAAATATTTTTGAATTGTGGCTAAGTATAGGTTGATTTATTTATTTTTGTATGAGGTCCCATATTCCTATTGCAGGACGATATGCATAAAACAGGCCAGTAGAAGTAAGAAGTAGCAAATATTAATCTGTACACATTTTATTTTATGACAGCTGATACTTTTCTTAGGGAGTACACTAGTTAAAGCCAAAGTCTGCTTCTGCTTCTGAGAAGCACACAGTTAAGTCTGCATATATGCTGTACTATCATGGTTTTTCTTTTTTCCACTTCATTTACAGATTCAGGATTTCCAGAACTGCAGGAGTTCAAAAAAAGGAAATTGACATATGAAAGAGTCCCTGGAAGAAGAGATGGACAAACACGTCTTAAATTCTTTTCAGCAAAATGAAGATTTGCATATTACATACTTCTTTCTTTTTCCGTTCTTTAAAGGGAATTAAATGAATTATTGTTATTAGTTTTTAGAAAGTAATTAGGATTTGGAAATACTTACTAGCTCAGGATTCTTCTGTATGTTTTTAAAATGTTGCTAAACAAACTAGTTTCTTGAAGCTGGATAATTATGGCTTCTCTGTTGTCATGGGTGATGTACAGCTACTTTATCACTCTTTATATTAAAAAAAAAAAAAAAAGGAAAAAGAAATAGAAACACGAGGGTCACTCTGGGTGAGGCACCTGTGTTTGCTGCCTGAGTTCCAATGGGCTAGATCTGCCAGAATCTCAAGGCATCTCAAGGCTTCTCAGAGTCTTAGAGATTTCTTGCAATTACAGCTGTGACTTTTTGCAGCTGTCCCTTGGGCTCTGTTCCACTTCTGTTCTTCTGACAGGTCCTTCAGGAACAATAAGTTCCTGACCTCCTTTTAATCAAAATCAGTCTAGGAAAAAGCTCTTTTTTTTATGGACAACATGCTAATAAGACTGTGTTGAAATTTAGCATTCTCATAGATTTAATTCAGGGGACTAAGCTGTGACCCTCACCCTTTGCATAACCTGCTGGAGGCCATTTGTTGGCATCCATGCTTTCCAGCCTTCTGCAGGGCATTGGCAAGTGGGGGCATGAAAGGTATCTGGGAGGCAGATCCAGATATAGGGTACAACTACAAGGAGTGAAAGATTGAATTTTCAAAAAAAAAATCTATCTCAGTTGTAATCTAAAGAACATGATAGAATAGTACCCAAACCCTCACTTTCCATCAGAAGATCTGGCAACAAAACTGGAAATATGTGTGGGAGCAATGGTAGACAGTAACTTCAGTCTGCCACAGGAATGCATAAATGGTTTGCACCAGCATGCCAGCCAGCTCCAGAATGTCCTTCTCTGTTCAGTGGTGTTCAGCTGAGATGATTCAAGTTTCAAACTCACCAATCTTCTTAAGTTTGATGCAGTAACAGAAATGGGGGGGGTGGTGATGAGGGGGTGAGGTAATAAAAGAAAACCAACCAAGTTTAAGGTTTATGTTTGCACTTAAATACTTACTTGACATAAAGCCTTCATTAAGCACATATTCGCTATTTCCGTAAATGAAGCTAGCACTTAGGGAAGAAAGATTTGGTCTGTCAGAGAAAACAGAGTGCTGCTTTTTGACTGAATTCTTATAAGCTATGTCTGCACTAACTGCAATGTTAGTTCACAGTAATATTCCTGAATTATTTGTACATTCATAGTTTGCAGGATTTGAGAAAATACCTTTCACAGGTGGTAACATAAAAAGATTTCTACTAAAATTGCAAAAAGCCACTGTTTCCTAGAATACGAGAAAGACTGAAATATAAGTTGCAATTTGCTTACTATCCATGGTCCATTTTTGTGGTCACCTGACCTAACCCATTTTCCTTCTTTGCATCATGGTTTATGTTGTTCAGAAGTACCTCCCAAAAAAACAGGAATCTGGTTTTTTTTGAAGTATAGCTCTACAAAGCCTCAGTCACAGATGACCACAGTTTGAGAAAATTATATCTGCCAGTGCCAAGCTGTGTATTTATGTTCTCCTCTTCCAAAAGCAAAGGCTGACACCAGAACTTCCACATGAACAGTTGTTAAAGCATAGCATAGATCATCTGTAGATAACTTTGAAAACAAAGATATATTGTGTATATTAAATAAAAAAATTCAAATGCTGTCTCTGTTAAGTTTCCATTAGGTAGAAAAAATGTCAGTGTACAGTTAAATTACTGGTAATGTACTGGAAAATAAGGGAAAGGGCTTGCAATGACTATTGGTTTTTACTGGTTTTGTTTATGAAAAATCTCAGTCTCTCAAAAATATGGACACATTGACAGTTTTATAAATTATGACATTCTTCCCCCTCCTTTTGTCTGTTTGATGTGGAATAAAATTACTGCTGAACTACAATGATGCACTTCCCCTCTCCCTCCGCCCCTCTACCCCACCCCTACCTTGCTAAATTACCTATTACTATGAATTAGAAAGCAACTAATTCTTAGACAAAAAGGCACAGTACAAAAATCCAATCTCCAGTCTTACAGGTAGGGACACTCCATTCCTGGAACAAGTTTATAAACATTTTAGTGACCAGGCAGGAGGCAGCTGTAGATGGAGAAGAGCTGATCAGCTGGGAGAGATGACAGTGAGAAAAGTGGGGCTTTTCTGGCTCCCGTGAGGCACTGAGCATACAAATGTGGACATTCACTCAATCTTCTTCACCCTGGGTGTCCTGTAAGACCTGCTGCCATCAGATGGTATCGGCACAGCAGATAGCCTTGCATAGTCTTTGGTGAAGGAAGCTAAGATGCTGCACACAGCTGCCCGCCCGCAGTTGCTCCAGCTGCAAGAGACCAGGTGGAGTTGGGCAGGGCAGCCAAGAGACAGCCATGGCTGACTGGCTGTCTGGCAGTGGTGGCTCTCTGCTCCCTGCTGCACACTGTGATTTGGCCACTCCTTGTGCCAGCTCAGCAGCCACTTCAAAACCCAAGCTCCAAGTGGCATTGCCAAGCCTGATTTCATATGCAGCAGAGGTTCTGGGGAGAGAAACAGGTGTGGAGATGAGGGGAAGTTTTATTGCAAAAGGGAAAAGAAATATGAAGGGCTTGCCTAGGAGGAAGCAGACAGCAGCCAAATACTGGTTGTCTAAAGGCTTTTGACTCATCAGTATCTTTGATATTTTGGTCTCAAACCAAGCCTCTGATGGCCTCTGTGCAACAGTATCTTGGTTTTCTCTAGACTTCTGTACCTGTGTCCAGTACTAACAGAAAAACTGCCATACTTAAATAGCCTGCAGTGAAAGGAAGTCAGAGTGAAGAGAAGCTCTGAAGGATGTTCTCTGTTTTTAAAGGCACAATACATACTGGCAGTATTACAGCTCTCACGCTGATGTCTTTCTGCAGGACAGCAACATGAAAATATTTGACAAACCGCCTGGAGGACACTGTTGCCCCATTTCAGTTAACATTCATGAGCATTAAGTACTTGGATTGCAGAGTTCTTCCTTACAGCTTCAAAACATGTGAGCCTTATAACATTGTTAGTATTTACAACTATGGTAAACAGATATGAATGGGATTTTTCTACTAATAAGATACAGTTTCTAAAACTCCAACAGCAACCATCTCTTCCCAAAAAAGCAAAGAGCTTGAGGCCTTCACTCCCACTGCAAAATCCACATATCCTTTTCTTTACAGTAGCTGCTCTTTGTTACAATTACACGAGTTCAAAGCCAAGAGGGATAGGAATTTTATTTCCAAACTTCTAAAATATTAATACAAACAATAGGAAGTACACAAAATTAAAAACCTATTTAAAAAGTTGTTCTTGTAAAAGTGCTCTATCAAAAAAGTGAAGGCAAATGACCAAGTACATTTTAGTAAATTCTGTGTATTGCAAACCGTGACAACAATGCATGCAGTTATCTTTGGGTGCTCAGAGATTCTTAGTGTCTGTTTGGTAATTTTAAATACGTCAACAACATTCCACTGCAGCAGTACTGTTACAAAGTAGAAGAAGGCTTACAGATAAGAAGTATTGCAAGAAACATGATTTAGGAATCAGGCCTCTGTTACATATTGTGTTCAGCAGTTACTAAAATGTGTCATTATGCACTGAGATGCACTTGAAAAAAACCTAAAGTTGGTTCCAGGTCTTGCTAATGGAAGCAAAATGTCCTCTGAGGACATTACTTCAGTTCCAACAGCATTTAGCTTTATGCTTTAATTATTCACTTTTAGGTTGTTTTATATTTTGGAAAAAAAAATCCCCATGAGTAGTTTTTGCTAGTATTCTGGTGTTATTGTTTATCAAGATGAGAGTAAGTAATTTGATTAAAAATTCACATGTTTTTCATGTCTAAAATGTAAACTTCTTAAGTAATATTTGTATAGTTAGCATACTGTAGTAAAAGTGGTGGTGATTATGAAGTTAAAAAACTTCAAGAACATTACTAAAATATAGTGGAATACAGATTCACAAGAACACAGAAACAGATATCTAGGATGTTGTTTTAGCCACATAAAAGACAGAGACTTTTCTTGTGAAGGAAAGGCAGTTGTTATTCATGTCATGCTTGAAGGCAATTCTCCAATGACCTTCCCTACAAGAAGAAAAAAAAAAGGCTTATTAAATGCCATTTTCTTATGCTGATAGATGTAATTTCTCTTAAAACTTGTAACAGAAAAGCTCCTTTGCACTGAGAAAATCCAAATAATGATTTTCCTTTGCTGAATGTTGATATCTTCACAATATCATAAAGTTTTTAACTGGCTTTTTTACTTTGCTCTGAATTTCTTATGATCCTAAGATAACACAAGAATAATAAACTAAATATTTGATCTACCAGCAAAAAGTACCAAATGACATCTTGGGCTGAGCAATGCATTTTTAAAAGTATTATAAATTAATCATCAAGTTCTTCTGAGAAAATATTTTGTAATGTATCTGTATGATGTGATGAACTCAGAACGTGTAGACACACACACAGACCCCCAGAAAACCAAAAGGTAGAAAAGCTGCTTAAAAAACAAAAGAACATATGCAATGGTATTAAGAATATTATCTTATTTGCATAAAGAATTAATTTGGGTAGCACCCAAAATAAGAAAATCTGCTTTTGCTTCACCCTCTCTGAATTTTTCCAGAAGAGCATCTCATGTTCAATTGTTTCATTTCTTTAGGTTCAATCCCGTTTTGTTAAACCTATGTAGCAACAATCAAGGCCTTGCTATTGATGAGGCAAAAACTCCCGTCCAAGCTCAGTAACAGTTGGCAGCAGCAAGGAGAAGATTTTATGAGTACTTATGTTTTAGCTTAAATTCTGCCCTTTGAGAAAACATCCATTTTTTCTTTAATAGCACTCTCATCAAAAGAACAGACTTCAGTGTTTCTTCCTCTCTCTGTAGATTTTGCAGCTCTTTAGCAGGAACTATTTTTATTCTTTCTTTAAAGGAGGAGTAACCCCTTCTGAATATCCTACTTCCACATTTGTGTGTTGAGCAAAAGAAGTAGATTTTTCAAGTTATGGTGTGGTTCTGCCCAAGGCTACTAGCATGCATGGCCTTAATTTCTCCTGCTGCAATCACTGATAACCTTTGTGACAAATGGGAGAGGCCAGACTGGGAATCATGAAACTGGATCCCAAAGGTTTGCAAATGTTGGACAGCCACGCACCTACTCTGCAGGTGTTACAGGGGTGCAGGCAATGCAGAGTTCAGGGAGCAGCTCATCCTTTAGATCTGTGCTGAAAAAGGTTACAAAGGATGTGACTACAGATTGCCTCAGCTCCTCTCTGCTTGCACTGGTTTTGGTGCTGTACCAACAGTAAAAACAGGAAAAGCCTAAGGACAGACACAGTGAAATGAACTGCAATATGACATTAAAGACCGAAATGTATTTTAACATAATTTACTTAGGCTGTGAGCTAGTCATCAGAACATATAAAATTGCCACAGCTTTGTCTTACTTCTCCAAGCTGGGTAAGTGACTGTCTACTGTCCACCTATGTCAAACACAGCTGTGTGTCTTAGACAATTTTAATTACTTTGGATGCTGCTAATTACCTTATTGCTGCACAAACACAGAAACACAACTATCCCAACAAAAAAACAACTCATAAAGAAAACACCTCTAGAAAGATCTGTAGAAAAGAGACATGCTTCCACTGCACCGCCTAAAAAACTCAGAAAACCATTTGCAGAGGCAGCAGAGAAATAATGAACATCCAAGCAAGAACTCAACACTTAAAGAAGTATCACCATGTGTCTTTGTCTCTCCAAGGGTTTGAGTTTCAAATTAGAGTAGTTGTCATAGCATCTTTATTACCTGATTTCAGAGCAGAGCACAGGATCGGGGTTCACGAAAGGGATTGCTCCCTGCAGGAACCCCAACAAGCAAGGCATCTTTGCAGGCATTTTGCATACAGTACTGCTGGAGTTCTGCAGCTGCCTGAGAGACCTGAAAAGGAAAAAAATCCAGAGAGGAAACTAATTCATTCACAAGCATCTATTAAGCATTTCCTCTTGAAGAGCTATTGTCAAACAGAGCTGGAGTGCAGCCAAGTCACCTCTCAGATTCTGGAACATCAAGTAAATCAGCACAGAAGCACAATTTACAAAGCTCTCATGAAGCACACATGAAATGCTACACCAGTGATAAGCCAGAAGAGTGTAGAGGACTGAGGCACCAGTGATGCAATTTCTCCCCATTAAAATGCTCAGAGCCCTGACAATTTTACAATCTTCTGTTGTGTTTGGAGGTTTATATTTGAACTCATATCCTCTGATAATTTATTAAAAGTATTTTCATTCCAAAGTTCTAAACAACACAGAGTATAACAAGGAGTGAAAGCAAAAAGATGAGGATGAAAAGCTTTCGAAGTCCAAATTGTCGTCTTCCCCCAGCAGTGAAGTCAGAACTTCAAATCCACGCTCTGGCCCCCTAGAAGGAGAGTCCAGAGCTGTAGAACAAACCCAAGATCACAAAGGCAAAATGACCTCAGCACTGAACTCCCCTGCTCTCCTCGCGGATGGCAAGTCAGTCATGTGCCTACATTTTTGAAGGAATATGTAGAGGAATTTCCAGTTTCCCAGACACACATCAGGAACAGCTGCAGGGAACTGTACAAAACCCATGCTGTCTGACAAATACTTTGTAAAAGGAAATACTAAATATATTGATGGAACTGTAAGTTCCCCTCTGACCTCACCTCTGCCTTTGTTACAGGACTCCTGAAACACTGACTTTTCTTTCTACACCACTCTTCAGTGTTGCCAAAGCAATAACCAGAAGGACCATCCACATTTCCCAGCCTCCTGTCTAAAGGAACCACCCCAGAGCACCAGTGGAATTTTGGTTCTTGGCCATCCCATCTAACAGCATCTGGAAACACATGGGAATTCTGCCCTAGCACACACTTTTGTTTGCTATTTTGCTGCTCTCCGGTCCACTCCTGTCTTCCAATTCTTCCCTAGGCTCTTCTCCAGGATGCTCATCCTAGTAACTGCCTGAATTTAGCCAGGAGCTGATGCCACTTCAGGGAGGTGTTATCAGAAGTTTTTTTTCCCCCTCAGCCTCCCAGGTTCTCTTGAAGAGAGTACAGGGAGAAGTGTGTGCAGCAAGGATTCCTGCTAAGTCAGCAGGCTTTGCCACTCCTTCCTTACCTGAGGAGAAGCCCTTTCTGGAGGCTGCAGAGGTCTCCTGCCCTGCCCAGCCCCTTGGGCCCCCTGCAGCATTAGCACCCTTGCTTCAACCACAGCACCTGCCCCTTGTGGTGCCCCACGGGGCCATCAGAGATCCCAAAAGCCAACACTGCCCAGGCCAAGGCCATGGGGAGTTTTTCCTTTGAGAGTTAGCAGTGCCTACAGCATCTCCGTGCACTTTGCTGCCAGACCCTTCAACACAGACTGAGCTACATATGTCCTGATATATCCTCAAAAGATACAAACCTACTCTTAGTCCTACCTATGCCCCATAACATTCTTCTTTTTCTCCTGCTCACACAGAAAATTTCTGCAGTATTTCATCACATGACAAACACACTCCCTCCAGCAGCCTCCACTTGCAAGACGTGTATGGGTACTTCTTCCTACTCAGTTTCCTCTTTCTGAAAATATTGTTCCTGTCTGCTTTTTTAGCCAGCAGGGTAAACAAAATCACCATTGGAACTTGGCAGTATGGAATGTATTTTTAAAAATCCTTTCATAACCAGCTTCCGTCTGGAAACACATTGTCTATTCAAAGCAGCTGAAACAATGTTTTCTCCCATTTCAGTGCTTGCAAAAACTGTACCAAGTGGTTTTTATCAACTGAATATATTTCACATTATTTTTGTACAGTATGTGTAGAAACTCAGATGATACAATTTATATGACACATTTTCATCATGTGTCATTTCAAAGCCATGAACAGGCTCCTAGAACAGCAGACATAGAAAGAGGTCTGTGCACAGTGCTGCAAGAAAGATGAGTCTAAGGTCCATCAAGGACAAGCCTATCCAGATTCCAAGAGCAAACTCATAAAAAAAATAGGCGGCCTTGAGAAGTCCAGCTCCAGAATATGAATATGTTATTGCCACAAAGTAACACCTGCAAACTACAAACTATGTATTTTATAGCCACTGCCCACCCACAAAAAAATAGTGGGGAGAAGTATATGAGTATTTTGAGTTTATGGCTCAAAATGAGCAGGAACAGAGATCCAGGCACCAACAATAACTGGTGGGAAACCGTTTCGGTGTTTGGCAATACTCCTCTTTCCACAAGAGTCTACATTTCTACTCTGAAACATGTTGTTTCTCACATATTCCCACACCTTACTGTGGTGATAAGCACAGCACTTTTTAGTGAATCAAGCATCTGCTGATTCTGTTTTGCTACTAAAATGTAGTAACAAAACCAAATTGATTACAATTATATCTAAAAGCCAGAGTGGTTTCGCCTTGCAACAAGCACTTCAAATTTCCACCAGCCCAGGTCAGGAGTAGTAGGAACAAGTATTATGAATTATTTTTAAATCAATTAGCTAAGTTCCTGCAGCTCAATGTGTTGGCACTGCCATCAGACTGAGGAAGCTAGTCTTTTGTGACTGGCCAGAGAAAAATGGCGAATGCAAGCAGAGAGACGAGAAAAGTGCAGGATATCAATTAATTTGACCTCCATCACTTCACAGACTATGCTGGATTTTGTGCATGGTGATGAATCCCCCACATCTGTTGGAAACCAAGAGCTGTCTCGGTCAGGTCACCAAACCTGAGGAGCTGGCAGACGACAGGACCGCCTCATCGTGCTGCCTTTGTCTGGAAATGTGCAAGCAGGAGAAGATTCATGCATGCGTAGCAAATCGCCTGCCTTTCCCCAGTGTGCCAGCGGGTACCACCCCGCACCGCCTCCCCCTGCAGATCCTGCCAGCGCTCCGAAGCAGGGGGGAGTCGGGCTGCGAGGAACTACTCTCGGTTATCTGTCTGCTGGTGCAGAACTAACGAGGAGCTGTTGTATTATTTATCACGGCTCCTTCCACCAGGGAACG